CCAGTTATAGCTTCGCTTGAAGTAGATGAGATCGACGACGACTTAGGTGTGGCCGGTAAATGCATATTCGGATTATTATGGATCAGGGCATAACGAGAGATGCCTTGATGAACACCCAACAAATCCATAAACCCTACCGGATATCTCTCCTCCGGTAAATCGGAAAACGAAGGGTAAGCCCTAGTTTGCCCTAACTCAGAAAACGGCATTCCAACACCAATATTCTCCATTTTACACGAATATCAATCAAACCAAGAAAAGAAAACGAATCAAAACAGAGATCCACTAACTAGACATGGAAGAAAGAAAAAAAAAAGTAATGTCACAAGAGAAAGATAATTTAGGGTTAGAGAAGAGAGAGATTTAGACTTGGCGTGAGAAGAGGTGAATAATCAAAGGACATGGATTCTTGCTTAATAAATGCCTATGAATTGGTGACCGGCAATCGTAGGTGGACAATGTTTTAAACGGTAATCTGCATGTCGTCTTACAACTTACAAGACGGTATATAAGCTTTTTCGGACGTTTGATTTTGACCGGTTCAGCCGTTAACCGGGTTTCCCCTAGTGTGAAGTGAGTTTCCTCTCTTTATAGACATGAATGGTGATCCCGATGAATTGAAAAAAAAAACTAAAATGTAAATTTTCCTCTTTTTGTTTGGGTTTTGCAATTTATATCTCCATGTAAAAAAAAAATACTGACCCACACGGCCACACCGACTAATTTAATTTGCTTGCAATGCCTGATTCTAATTTTAATACAAGTTACAACATAACTTTATTTTTATAAAAATCAACATTTTTTCTTTACTTTTGCTTTGAGGTGAATAAACACCTTTCACCTCGTTGATAATGTTAAAAGCTCAAAAGCTTTGATAATTAGTCAAAGAGAAGGAATAAACAACATCAACGCAACAAATTAAAATGGAGAAATCATAGTTGGCGAATATGAAATCGCCGTTCTTAGTGTACCACACGAAATTTGATATCTATTTTCTCTAATCTTACAAGAGTAAGCAGCCGTAACAATCATCCCATATATTGAATCTAATCGATCGATATTCAAAATATTGAAAGAATATATTTTTTTCCCCATTTTTGATCAGGAACTTCTTGTTGTAGACTCCAAACGTTCAAATCATGACATTGTCGCACATCGGATAGGCACAAACAGTCATATAAACTCCACATTTGCATACCACGAGAGTAAACGGAGTACCATTTCGGTAATGATATCCACCGAAATTTTTCTGTGTGAAAATCGATAGCTAATAGCTGGGAATGCTTTTGGAGGTTCTCAGAATACGTGAACCAAAAGAGCGATCCGTTTGTGTAGACTGATGTTTGCTCATTACAAACTTGATAGTAAACTAAATCATAAAAATCGACATCTATTTGCTCGCCCTTATCAATGGATAGGATCTTCACCTTGAAACAATTTATCAAAAAATTGCTATCTCCTGAATACATCAAAATCACCTAGTCTGATTTTGCAACAACGTCGTTGCCAAACCCAGCAGCAAAAGGCATCATGTTCCATATATCACCTTAAAAAA